CGTTGCGGCCTCCGGCCGTTTCTGCGGGCGCCCGGGAGGCTCCCGGGGGGCCCGGGAAGCCAGGCTGCTGCGAAGCGTTGATGAAAAAGGTGACCAGAGGCTGGGGCTCGGGAGACTTGGGACGCCCCGACCGGCTGTCACGGCGAGGCCGGGCTCCTAGCCGGAGCGGGGCTGCAGAAGTAGCGGCCTGCGCCCTGGCGGCCGTTACGCACGCGGTGCTTTGTCGGGGCGGTTCGGGGGAGCCCAGACCCAGAAGTGTTGCGTTAACAGCGCTCTTTGTGTGCAGCCAGAAATCGGCCCGGGAGGGAGGGTTTTGCTTTCCCTTTCCCGAAATGTGACAAATGGTGTCCAGCCGGGATTGAGCTTGAGGTGACCCCACCTCTGTGCACGGTCAGAAAGTCATGTTGGAGGTATTCGGTAAAGGAATTCCATCTTCGTGTTTTACTTTTCCCTTCGAGGAAGACTCTGAAATGTGTCAATATCCTTTTAATTCTGAAAAGCCGCGTCTTCTGTATTTAGTTTAGTGTCTTTCAATATTCAACCTGGCGAACGGGCAAGTGTTTTTCTGTTGTATGCTTTGCCCGGGTCCTGGATTGACTGGGTAGCTTAAGGATGACAGGTCCCTGGGAAGTAGGGTTCTCCACATTATAACCTAGAGAAAGGCCCTTTGGGATATTTTGAGGTTTCTTAATAGAAATAGGTTGAGAAATGAGTAGTGAGGAGTCTTGTGCCATGAAGCCCTTTAATTTTGGGATATGTCTTGTATAGTTGTATTCTTTGGCAGGTTTTTTTTTTTTTAGCTGGAGTGTATTCAAATGATTTATGAGATCAATTCCAACAGATGCAAGCTTACAGATAGTTTTGTGGCAGAATACATCAGATCAGTAGAGATATTACTATAATATTAATCATTTCTAAATCTTTCTATGAAAGGTCCTTGCCTCTTACTGTATTTCATTTTGGCCTTGATGCCTTGCTCTCGTTTCCTTTTACATGAAAATGTTCCCATTCTCAGCAGTCGTGTTGAATATGTCAAACATAGTTTGAGCATGGTATCAACACCTGTTGAGGAATTTAGTATTTCTCTTTCTTGCTTCATTTCAAGTACACATCGCTGACTGTATCTGACCCTACATTATTGATAGTACCTGAGTCTCTTAGAATAAACTGATTGAGTGGATCTTTATGAAAAACAAACATTTTGAGAGTCATTGTATTCTGTTGTTGATATTTCTCACAGCAGAGGGTAACAAAGTTAATGCGAGATTTTTATTCATGGTTACCAAGAGTTTTAACACAATTCTTTTCTATTCATTCTTGCATTTGGACCTGGACTTAACTGTGCTGTCACTTTCACCAGTGGCTCCAACCTATTCCATGCAACAGGCTCCTTTGTTGCAAAAGCATTTTTAATTCGTAAATCCCCGCAGTAGTTCATATCGATCACCCTGGGAAGCGAGATTCCCAGAAACCCCGAGCTTATTATTCTTTATGTGTGTTTTAAAATAAGCAGGCGGACCGGCAGCCACGGGCCACCATGGAGTTCCCTGTGCAAGCAGGCGAGCCCGCGCCTCTCCCATGCCGGGGTCGATCCGGGCCCGTCGCCCCAACTCCGGGGCCAACTT